AATAATATAATGAAAACGTGCACGGCATCACCCTTCGTGCTTTTACTCTCTTTCCTCACCAAAGCAATTAGAATAATAAAATGTGCACGGCATCACCCTTCGTGCTTTTACTCTCTTTCCTCACATATAATCAATAGAATTGGCACGGAATGGTACATCGTGCGGCACGGCATCACCCTTCGTGCTTTATACTCTTTCCTCACAAGAAATCAAATAAGTGCACGGCATCACCCTTCGTGCTTTTACTCTCGTCCTCACCAAGCAATAATATAATGAAAACGTGCACGGCATCACCCTTCGTGCTTTTACTCTCTTTCCTCACCAAAGCAATTAGAATAATAAAATGTGCACGGCATCACCCTTCGTGCTTTTACTCTCTTTCCTCACATATAATCAATAGAATTGGCAAGGAATGGTACATCATGCGGCACGACATCACCCTTCGTGCTTTACACTCTTTCCTCACAATAGCAAACAATGCACGGCATCACCTTCGTGGTTTAACAGTCTTCCTCACCCAAAAAACAATCACAAACAAGCGCAAGGGAAATAAACAAGAACATATAGGAATCCCGGCAAGGGAACAACAATTAAACAATTAAATCCCGGCAAGGGAACAACAATTAAACAATTAAATCCCGGCAAGGGAACAGCAATTAACTCTTTCTCTATCTTTCAATTTTACTTCATAACTCGCTTTACCACTTGAGCCAATGCTCCAAAGGGTTCAATCATCTCATATACTTTCACAATTCATAATATAACTCGAGCCAATGCTCCAAGATGTTCAAAGGTCTCAATTCCTTCCACAAACTTTTCACAACAACTAGAAATCATCACCAAAGTATGAAGAATACAATGAAATCAAGATATTCACAATATAAAGACTCACGGTTATGCTAGACACCAACTATAGATACTCGTCACCATGCCTATACGTCGTACACGACTAATACCACATAGCAAATAAGACTCAACTCCTAATCCCTCAAGCTAAGGTTAGACCAAACACTTACCTCGATGCCTTGAACACAACTCAAGTCTCAATTATAGCTTTACCCCTTGATTCCACCGCCAATTCGCTCGTATCTATTCACAAATTACTTAATTACATCAATAAGTGCTAAAAGAATCAACCCCAATGCATGAAAATGAGTTTTCCAAAGTTTTACCCCAAAAGTCAAAAATCGCCCCTGGGCCTACGTGGTCAAAACCTGAGGTTCGAACCAAAACCCGATTACCCATTTGAGTTATGAAGTAAAATTGAAAGATAGAGAAAGAGTTAATTGTTGTTCCCTTGCCGGGATTTAATTATTTAATTATTGTTCTCTTGCCGAGATTTAATTATTTAATTGTTGTTCCTTTGCCGGGATTTAATTGTTTAATTCTTGTTCCCTTGCCGGGATTCCTATATGTTCTTGTTTATTTCCCTTGCCCTTGTTTGTGATTGTTGTTTGGGTGAGGAAGAGTGTTAAAGCACGAAGGGTGATGCCGTGCATTGTTTGCTATTGTGAGGAAAGAGCGTAAAGCACGAAGGGTGATGCCTTGCCGCACGATGTACCATTCCGTGCCAGTTCTATTGATTATATGTGAGGAAAGAGAGTAAAAGCACGAAGGGTGATTCCGTGCACATTTTATTATTCTAATTGCTTTGGTGAGGAAAGAGAGTAAAAGCACGAAGGGTGATGCCGTGCACGTTTTCATTATATTATTGCTTGGTGAGGACGAGAGTAAAAGCACGAAGGGTGATTTCGTGCACTTATTTGATTTCTGCTTCTGGTTGACATTGTAGTTATGCTGTTCCTTTCCTTACTTGATGCTTTATTCGGAACTGTTGTCTCCCCGCAATATGTTTCCCTCTCCCATCCTTACCAGTTTATTCCTGTTTTACTTTCCCCTGTACATTATATAACTGCACAGGTTTATTTAGTAGCCTGGTCCTAGCCTCGTCACTACTTCGCCGAGGTTAGGCTAGGCACTTACCAGCACATGGGGTCGGTTGTGCTGATACTACACTTTGTGCTCTTTTGCACCGATCCAGGTCCTGGAGTAGCATTTGGTCATCATCAGTAGATTGGGAGCTATCCTTCAGTCCGAGACTCCGAGGTAGCCCTGCTGGCGTTCGCAGGCCCGACGTCTCTTCTTTCTGTTTTTATGTTCTGTTGTCATTTGCACTCGAGACAGATTATGTTCTTTTCTTTCAAACACTTATTTGTAGTAATCCTAGACAGTCCGTGGATGTTGTGACACCAGGTTCTGGTTAGAGGCATGTGTTGGTCTTCAGGATATTTTGGTTTTATATTTTATTTAAGACCTCTGCTAAATTTCATATTCCGCTGTAATTTATTTTTTTATTTCCGGTAAATTTAATTGGTTAAAAAGGAATTAAAAACAAAAAGAGTTAATGATTTCTAAGATCGTGGCTTGCCTAGCTTCTACGAGTAGGCGCCATCACGACTCCAGAGGGTGGGAAATCCGGGTCGTGACATGGGAATACACCTCATCCACTTCAGGTAATGGTGTAGACCCAGTGGGTCGATTTTTGTGATTTCTCATGAGCAAGTCATTGTTTCGTTCAGCCACAAGGAGAAGAGAAATCAACTTAGAGTACTTCTTGAAACCTTTCTCTCTGTATTGCTGTTGCAGGACCATATTGGAGGCATGAAACATTGTAAGCGTTTTTTCAAGCATATCATAGTCAGTGATAGTATCTCCACAGAGTTCAATTTAAAAGTAATTATGAACATCACAGAATTATATTCAGAAACAGACTTAAACTCTTGGAGCCTCAGACAAGCCCAATCGTATCGTGCTTGTGGAAGAGTGACCAACTTTAAGTTGTCATATCTTTCCTTTAAACCATTCCACAAAATAAGTGGATTTTTGACTGTGAGATATTCTATTTTCAACCCTTCATCAAGGTGATGGCACAAGAAAATCAAGGCCTTAGCACAGTTTTGGGTGGTTGCTTTAGTTTTGTCTTTAATGGCGTCTCCAAGACCCATTGCATCTAAATGAATTTCAGCATCCAACACCTATGTCATATAGTTCTTGCCCGAAATTTCAAGGGCAATGAACTTTTTTTTTCATAATATCAGTCATAATTAAAAGAGGAGAAAAGTTATACCTTAGTCTTCTCAAAGAGCTTCTTGAGACGGTAGAGTCTCGTGCTGATAACGTGTAATAAAACAATAAGAGTAGAAGAATAATATTGCAGAGAAAGAGAGAGTAATTCTTATTGAATTTTGGGATGATTTACAATGCGGTAAGACCCCTCTATTTATAGGGGAGAAATGACTTAGCCACAAAGTAAATCTCTCTAAAAGATAGACATTCACTCTAATTACAATTCTATTCATAACAAGAAGTTCATTTTAAAACAATTTTTATTTTATTTTTATATGTAATTTAAAAGGTCAAGTGTGACCCAAATCTTCTCTGTAAATCTTATAGCCTGTTTGGCCAAGCAGAAAAAATCAACTTAGTTTGAGAAGTATTTTTTTTTTTCAAAAGTATTTTTGGTGAAAAATAATTTGTTTTTGGCTAATTAATTTAAAAAGTACTTCTAAGCGTCAATTAGTGTTTGGCTAAGCTTTTCAAAATGCTTTGAAGTGTATTTTTCTCAAAAGTGCTTCTCAAAAAAGTGCTTCTGGGAAGAAGCTATTTTTTTCTGCTTCTTCTTCTGCTTCTGCTCAAGAGCACTTTTTTTTCTTCTAAAAGTTCGGCCAAACACTTTTACTTTTTTTTTTTAAAAAAAAAGTCACCTTTTAAAAAAGAAAAAGAAGTGTTTTTTAACTTGGAGAAGCTTGGGCTATTATAATTTTATATTCTCAATTTTCTCTGAAATTTGTCTGACCATAACATGCCACGGATGTTCATTATTGGAGTGAAATAACTGGCCCCCGAATGTTCATTTTTTTTTTTGTTTTGTTGAAAGTTCTGTTTCTTTTAAAATTAAAAAAGAAAAACAGTTAGATAAACTATAATTATGACTCAATTCAGACTTTTGAGAGAAAAGGAGTATTATATATAGCTAATTTTTTTGTGGCAGAGTGCGCAAAGCTGATGTAACATGTTGTGTAGAATATTCAAAGTTTTTGAGCAAATAAAATACATATATTTGGAAGCAAATAAAAGAATTTATTAATATTATGATTTTTTCCTTTTTAATTTATATTATGGACTTACATATAAAATAAAGAAATTTTATATTATAAATTAAAAAAATAAAAAGTAATTAAGCATATATAATGCCGGAATAAAAAAAATGAGCATAGTAAACAAATTAATTAGAATAATTTGTTCGTAATAATAATTTTAGTATTAACAACAAAACTTCAAAAATTTATTTATGCAATTGAGAATGAAAAAAAATAAAGGTTGTAAAAATTTATATTCCATGCACGTAATATAAAAATAATTATTTAAATAAAGGTATTTTATAATATACATATATATTCTTGAAAATTATGCTCAATTATATTATTATTCCGTAATCATATGAGCTGATTTTTTTTTTATAAGTAAAATATATGTATTCTATAGGTAAGTCCACAATGTAGATTAAAAAGACAAAAAAATTATAATATTTAAGAAGTTTTAAGAAAAAATTAATAGAGGGTAAAATAGGTATTTGATAATTAAAAATTTGGAAAATCTAGTTGAGTGACCTTCTGAGTGCTATAGGCATAGATAAGTGACTTTGTTATTACAAATGAAAGAAGTGTGACTTTAGCAGATAATTTGGAATAGTTGAGTGACCATTTGAGTAATGGACTCCGTAAATCTTTATAATAAGCATTAATTAATAAATTAACAAAAATAATAACTAACCTACTATCACAAATTAAGCTACACTAAATTAAAATGCAATTTTTTGTACACAATCTATATATATAACTTATAATAAATTTTTTTGCAAAAATTACAGGTGCTTCAAGTTTATACTTTCCTTTTTTTACTTTAATCCCCTAATGAACAAGGAGAAAAAGAAAAAGAAAAGAAGAGAGAGGCAATCTCATTTTCTTTATTCCTCTTTAATTAATTTCTCTCCTATTTCTCATCAAACTGATAAAGCTGCGGCTGAAAGATAAACAAGAAATTCTTTTATTAATCAGCCAATAATCAGCCATAGTTTGGACTGCGTATAGTTAGCAAGTCAGGATTAAGGGAGAAAACGGCAACCTCTGTAGGGGTGTTTGCCTGATTATGGTGTATTTTCTGCCTCTATGTTATAGCGAGAACAGGTATTATTACTCTTCTGCTTTTCCACTTGATACAATGTTGAAAGAATATTGAAATGTGTTTCTTGAATTGCATTTTCTATGTAAAGTATTTGCATCTCTCCCACGAAATAAGGAGTGTACTTGTTATTTTCATCTCACTCTATGCCTGTTCCCTGTTCGATGTTTTTCCAGAATGAAAACATCAAATGTTTTTTGCTCTTCCATGCATTTTGCTATATCGTGTGTCCAGTTGCTGCAGACTTGTTTGCCCCTCATAACCCTCTACCCCTCCTCCTGCAGGTGTAAAATTGAAGCATTATAAGCATTCTGAGGCTAAGGTTAAGCTGTTTGTTTGAATTAAGAAAATGAAGAACATCTTTTCAGTATTAGTATTGTGAGTGTCCAGACCAGTTTAAACGCACCTCTACTAATTTTGCTTACGCTTAGCATTAAAATAAGAAGAACTCAACTAGGGTGATGGCAGCTGCAAAGCTGCATTTGTCTGTTCGTCCTATTTGTCGTGCTTTTTCCTCTTCAGCAAGAATGCTTGAAGAAACCATTAAAGCAGTGGTGGAAGCAAAAAGATATGAACAGATTCCTGATATTTTGAGCTCCTCTAAAGGGTCTAACCACAATCCGAATCCCTTTTCATTTTTATCCACCTTTTCTGAGAACACACGAGTCCAAATTGTTGACGAAATTTTACAATCTTTTATTCCAGTCAGGCCTCGTTCTCGCCCTCGAATTGCATATTCCTCTCTCCTTTCCTACACTCTCCAAAGCTCAAATCCTCTCCCAATCGCTCTTGCCATTCTTCAGCGTACCCTTCGCTCTGGCTGCCTTCCTGTACCTCAAACTCACCTCCTACTCTCCACTGCATGGCTTGAACGTCGGGTAAAATCTCATTCTGTTTCAAGCATATTATTGGAAATGCAGGATATTGGATATAACCCTGATTGTGGCACATGCAATTACATCATTTCGTCGCTTTGCAAGGTCGATCAGATAGATGAAGCAGTTAATGTATTGAAGGGCATGGCCCGGGCTGGTTGTATCCCGGATTTGGATAGTTACGGTACTTTAATTGACAACTTATCCGAGCTAAGAATGACGCCTGCTATCATAGAGATGGTGAATGAAATGGTTGTGAGGTTTGGCTTGAGCCCGAGAAAAGACACTTTGGTGAAAGCATTGGCAGCAATACAAGCTAACAAAGAGATATGGAGAGCGATTGAAGTAATTGAGTTCTTACAAAATGAGGGTGTCCATGTTGGGTTCGAGTGCTATGAGTTAGTCCTTGAAGGGTGCTTAGAGAACCGCCAGTTTGTTTTGGCTGGAAAATTTGTGATAGAAATGACCAAGAGAGGGTTCATACCGTACATAAGGTCAAGGCAAAAGGTTGTTGAAGGCCTGGCAAATATTGGTGAATGGGAACTTGCCAATGCTGTGAGGCAGAGATTTGCAGAACTAAGGTCATAGTTTTGTGCATACATGTGAAACAATAAGCTTTATAAAAAAGGGTAGTCCGGTGCACTAAGCTCCCGGTATGCGCGGGATCCAGGGAAGGGTCGGATCACATGAGTCTATTGTACGCAGCATTACCCTGCATTTCTGCAAGAGGCTGTTTCCAGGTCTCGAACCCGAACAATAAGCTTTATAGAAAGGCAAAAAGAATCTGTGTTGGTGGGGATAGCAGATACTAGGTGGAATAATCGAGGTGCACTCAAGCTTCCAGGCACCACCATTATATGTAATAAAAGAAATGGATCTAGATCATTTTCCAGATTGAAGGAGCATGTGGTTATACTAGTATGACTGTGATTTCAGAACCCCTATTGGGAGTCTTCTCACAACCCATGTACGGTATATCACTTTTTTGTTTATTGATTAGTTTATGAAACTCAGAGTTTTATGCATTTTCATATGCTTTAAAGGTGATAGCACTTTCTGCCTCTGTGGGAGTATCATTCATTGGCATCTCCTATTATAGCTTATATAAGTAAACTTGGTTCAAATGTTAATGAAAAACACAAAATATAGTTGAATTCTGTTATAAACACCTAATATCCTTTATATAGTTTTTGGAAAATTGTACTTGATTTACTTATTATGAATGTTTGTACGTAGGCCTCTGTCTTTAGAGTGAAAAACGAGAATTTGCTGTATTTTGTTTTTAGCTTTGTTGTCTAAATATGATGAATCCTTTTAATCTTTGGATACATAAGTTGCATAGCTCTTCTACAATTAATTTGAGATTAAAATGCAGCTGATTGAGTTTGAAAATCATGACTTCTCATTCCCGTTCAATAGTTTAAAGTTCACGTGTTAAAAAATTAAGAGAAGCAAGTGATAAACTATTAAAATCTATTCTTTTTTTTTCGTTTTCAATGTCATCCTTTGAAGTCGACGTGATAAAGAAACCCATAAAAAGTTTTAAATAAAAGAGAAACTTTGGGAAACCACTATGTTTTAGTGGTTATTAGCTAGTTGTAGCTATCATTTACTATATTAATTCCTATAGCTATGTTTTTAGATTTTTTAGAGTGTATTCGATGTATGTAAGCTACTGTATTCATGGATACAATAGCATTTCTAGGCGTGAAACAGGGGATTACAGCTAGACAGATTTTTGTATTCGAGTGTATTCGACTGTATTCATGGCGTGAAACATGGGGTTACAACTGGACAGATTATTGTATTCGACTGTATTCACGGCGTGAAACAGGAGATTACACTGTTTTTAAACGGAAAGTGAATCAATTAACATGATAGACTCCTAATATAACTCAACAAACTTAATTATAACACACAAATTTTGTATTTCCAGTTATAAAAAAGATTCTCAACCGAAAAACACCCCAAAAACATAGCAATCTTCAGAGAAATTATATAATACATCTGAATACATAAATTATATTAATTAAAAAAAAACATATGAATAGATTCATGGAATATAGCGAGACAATGAATACAATGAAATACATAGAATACAGCGGGATACATTGAAATACAATGAAAAAAAAAAAGACAATGAATACAATGAAATACATAGAATACATCGAGATACATAGAAATACAATGAAAAAAAAACAATGAATACTATGAAATATGGCGAGATACATCGAAATACATTGAAATATATTAACAGAAAATTTAAGTTGCTCAGCCCCCCAACTCCATCGTCTTTGTTCAAGAACAACCCTAATGTCGTCTCGTTGAAGCAGCATCAGTATCCAGTCCTCGCTCGCCGTCACTGTTGCCTCCGGTTGCTGACGATTAGCACGTAATTACCGGATTGAAGACAAAGCATGTGATGAAGGGGAGAAGAAGAAACTTAGAAGCCGCTCTAATAGACTGCCTCCATCGACGGATTCTTCTCCATCTTCGGAGGAGAAGTCGTGTTCTCCGCCGCTTATCAAAAGTAGAAGCAACAGAAGCCGAAGTCCAGTGCCTTCATCTTCAGCCTTGATCCGGCGGAGGAGAAGACATCGGGAAGTAGAGAGAGAGAGGGAGAATAGATATGGGGAAGGGGATAGGAGAAATTTGAGGGGATATGAGAGAGAAAAATAATACAAAGCTTATTTTATGGCTTAAGGGTAGGAGGTGGCCATAAACAGATATTTGGCTATAAAAAATCAAAAGGTAACTATGGAATATAATTTTTTAAAAGGGTATTTATTTAAAATAAATAAACTATCAACCTTTGCTATATGAGGTAACTAATCCTAAATAAAATGACCGAAGTTTCATGAGAGACTAAAGCTAAATTGATAAATTCTACTTTGGCAGTGGGGGTGTACAAAGGAAACCGACAGACCGCACCAACCCGATAATCCGAGTCAAACCGAGAAAAAAAATCCGACTATGGATTGGTTTGATTTGGTTTGGTGTTGGAAAAAAAATCCGACCATAATTGGTTTGGTATATGGTTTGGTCTGGTTTTAACTAAAGAAAGTCTATATATATAGAAATTTTAGATATATTTAATATATAAATATATTTATTGTGATGAAATTTATAAATATTTCTTAAAAATTTTCATAATTTTATATTTTAAGGTATTGTTTTAATGTTGGACTTAGAATTTTTGTCTGTTCCAATAAGTTTTATAGCCATTAATATTAATAAATTAAATAATGCTAACAAAAGTCCAAACCAAAATCAAATTAATACTAATGCTAACAAAAGACATTCAATTCAATAGTCAATACTACGAACGGGAATGTATTGAATATCTATTTTTTGTTTTGCAATAATTTGTATTTAAATGCATAACCTATTTTTATATTTTCTTTAGCGTTTAGTCATGTAAATAATACTCCCTTATTAGTCTACTTACTTTAGCATGACTTAGTACTTTTAGATTATGTTTATTTTTATTATGGGTTTTTAATTAAGTAGCAATATTTATATTACATAATTTTATTGTCTTTATTGTTGAATATTTTAAGATAATGGCATGACACATCTCATATTTTGTATTATTTTCTTGGAAAATACTTTATATAGTTGTATCTTACTAGGATTAAAGAAATATTTTGAGCACAAGTTATATGTTTTGTTCTACGAGGATTTTACCGGAAAAAAACCCGAATAACCCGAGATTGATAAACCCGAGTTTATTGGTTTGGTTTGGTCCTTAGATTTAATAACCCGACACAATTGATTTGGTTTGGTAATCGTAAAATCCGAACCAACCCGACCTATGTACACCCCTATTTGATAATATTTAATTAGATAGGAATGTCTGCATGTCCCTTTCCAGCATTCCCTCAATAGAGGAAGAGTTTGATAAAAGTAGAGACAGAGTGGTAATACACTGCGAATTAACAACAAAAAGGATATAGAAGGACCGATTTGGAACTCGAAGTTACTTATTCGACTCTTATTTTCAAGAATATTCCATTTGCTATTGTAATTTTAATATTCAAATTCTTTCTAACGAAAGTTATATATTCTAACTACTTATAATGCTAATACTAAAACAATAACAATAACAACAAAACCATTATAATTTTACAAGTGGGATCTGTAGAAGATAGAGTGTACGCAAACTATATTCATGCTTTGTGAAGGTAGAGAGAACCTCGACTTAAGAAAATTGAGAAAGATCCTTTTTGCTATAATTAAATGAAAAGGAATTAATTCGAAAAAAGAAGAAGAGAGAATAAGCTTTTATCACATGGAAAGTTAGCTAGCATAAGAGTATCAACTTTGACGGTTCTTTAAGCTTCCGCCATTGGACTTGGGAGCATATTTATTTGCTAGCTTGACTAGCTCAAAAGTTATTACTGAACTTCTAATATGGCGTCTTGACGAGTACCCTTTTTTGACACTTTCTTTACGTACCAAGTAAAGTTTTATGATATAATCTTTAAATTATATATTTAATGTTTAAAAATAAAGTTTCAAAGTATTTAAATGTTGAAGGTAATACCTTGTTACAAATTAAATCCTAGAAAAACAAGGAAAATATGTACACACTTTGAGAGTGCTACTTTTAAAAATGACCTACAATTGGATTAAGAAAATAGCTAAATGCTTCTCGTTGCAATTAGAGAAACATAATAGGAAATTACTACAACAACGACAACTATGCTTCAGTTTCAAATAAATTGGAAAATTGACTTTTAGTAATATTATTTTAATTTTGTGTGTGTGTGAATTTTGTTAAACTATGAGGAGCATGTAGTAGCACCAGATATTATAGCTAATTGTTGGTCTAATCTCTTTAACAAAATATTAAACTCAAAGTAAAATTGCACCATTTTTTTTAGTTCAAAAGACACCTACTAAATTTGAAATCTATGGTCTCACATAGTGGTTGTTTAACCCCTTTTTTTTCCTCTCTGCATTCAAGATCCAGAACATGGAGGTTTATTCAGCTAAGCATGTGGAAGCAAGAATTTGGTATGAACAATAAATGGTGGTAATAAAGAGGAGAGACAGATGTGATGGTCTAATCCCAAATTGGTAATTCTGGTGAAAAGAAGTCTTAGGGGTGAAGTACACAATAAGAATCATTTAGTATAAGAAGCTTCTAATTTAATTTTCGCCATTGACATTTCCTTCTAAGAGATGCTACTCATCTTAGGTGAATTAAAGTTTGAACGTAACCACCGACTAACCGACACTTAGGGATAGTTTGACATGTGAGATAAGGGATAAACAATCCTGATTAGATGCATGTAACGATCCGACTGGTCGTTTTGAGCAATTTCGTCCGGTTCGGCAGTTTGAGATTACGAGCAGCTTCATATTATGTGTATCGACTTGCGTGCGCAGTCTAGGCGTGAAACCGGAAAGCTTTTATGTAAAAATATGAAAAATATAGTAATTTCTAGAGTTAAAATTTGGTTTTTAGTTGACTTTGGTCAATATTTTTGGTAAACGGACCCGGATCTGTATTCTGACGATCCCGGGAGGTGCGCGGTAAAATATGGGACTTGGGCGTATGCCCGGAATTGAATTCCGAGGTCCCTAGCCTTAGAAAACAATTTTTGAAGAAAATTGTTGTGCTGGTTTTTAAAGAAAATAAAGAAATAAATTAATGTTTGAACTCGTTGGTATCGGGCCCGTATTTTGGTTCCGGAGCCCGATACAAGTTTGTTATGATATTTAAGTCCTATCTGTGAAATTTGGTGAGAATCGGAATTGATCTGACGTGATTTGGACGTCCGGTTGAAAAGTTAGAAAATCATGAGTTTTGAGGTTAAATTCATAGTTTCTGATGTTATTTTGATGATTTGATCGCACGAGCAAGTTCGTATGATATTTTTAGACTTGCGTGCATGTTTGATTTGGAGCCCCGAAGGCTCGGGTGAGTTCCGAATTGGTTCCGGAATGATTTTTGGCCTAGTCTTTGATTTCTGGTTCTGGTGTCATCGCATTTGCGATGTATTGGCCGCAAATGCGACAGCCGCAATTGCGAAGCAGCCATTGCATTTGCGAGGTCTGAGCTGCTGGGCAGAGTTCGCATTTGCGAAGGACTGCCGCATTTGCGAAAGCCCCTCCTTCGCATTTGCGAAGATTTTATCGCAAATACGACCTTAGCAAGGTAATTCCGAGCTTCGCATTTGCGAACCCAGTGTCGCAAATGCGACATCTGCAACCTGCTAAAAGCTGAGTATTTCGAGTTTTTGCTCATTTTTCATATTTTTGAACCCTAACTCCGAGAATGGGCGATTTTGAGAGAAGATTTTCATACCAAATCATTGGGTAAGTTTCTCTTATCAATTTCCAACTATATTTTGTGATTATATCTTAGTTTTAACATCAAATTCATGAGAATCTAAAGGAAAATTTGGGGAAAATTGTGAAATCTTTCAAAAATGTAAAATGATGATTTGAATGAACAAATGGTATCGGAATTTGATAATTTTTGTATGGGTGAACTCGTAGCGGAATGGGTGTTCGGTTTTTGTAAATTTTGTCGGGTTCCGAGGTGCGGGTCCGGGGAGTTAACTTTTGTTGACTTTTTACAAATTGTATAAGAATCATAGTTTTGTTAATTAAAATTGTTTTCTCTTGCATTGGTTGATGTATTCAAGTCGTTTTTGGCTAGATTGAGCCGGGCATTGATGAATTGGTAAAGGAAAAAGCTAAATTGAGTATTGAATTGGCCGGATTGAGGTAAGTATCTTGCCTAACCTTGTGGTGGGGGACTTCCCCTTAGGAGTTGAGTCTTCTATGCTATTTGTAGTTCATGCACGCGAGGTGACGAGTGTGTGCTCGGACTTATTTGTGGGAAAATTTGCCTTTAGGATTCTTAGGTCCTTATGTTCGTTATGTGGGAAGTAATCCGTTATGATTGAGTTTCCTAATTGCTTAACTTACCTCTATATGCTCCATACGATGTTGTTAGCTTTCCTCTAACTCTTACTTGTTACTTGCCCTTTATTTGCCTTAATTGAAGTGATTGTTCTCCTTATTATTTCGTTATCTCTTAATTGTGAATTCCTCTATGACCCCGTGTATATATGCTATGTGTCCAAATTTTTGTGGTTGCCGGTCTAGTTATCACGTGCTTATTATGTCTTGTTTTTTTGTTAAGGTTATTGCGCTTCTTGATTTTTTCGTGGGTCTTACATTGTGACTATTGTGATTCTTATTATGTACTATTTATGCTTAAATTGATGATTGTTCATGTTGGACAAGTCTTATGATATTTTCTTGGTATTTGACCATTGTTGAGTATTGACTCAAGTTGAGATTTATTTTGTGAAGGTAACTGTAGCAACGAGATTGGTTATAGCTGATTCCCTTGCCGGGACGTATTTGTTTCTATTGTTGATTTCCTTGCCGAGTGTATTTGTTTCTATTGTTTATTCCCTTGCTGCGATGTTGTTGTTTCTACTGTTTGGGTGAGGAAAGAGTGATAAAGCACGAAGGGTGATGCCGTGCACATTTACATTTATATTGATGCATATGGTGAGGAAGAGAGATAAAGCACGAAGGGTGATGCCGCGCACATTTATATTATTCATATGGTGAGGAAGAGTGATAAAGCACGAAGGGTGATGCCGTGCACATTTATATTATTCGTATGGTGAGGAAGAGTGATAAAGCACGAAGGGTGATGCCGTGCACATTTACATTTATATTGATGCATATGGTGAGGAAGAGAGATAAAACACGAAGGGTGATGCATGCACATTTATATTATTCATATGGTGAGGAAGAGTGATAAAGCACGAAGGGTGATGCCGTACACATTTATATTATTCGTATCTTGAGGAAGAGTGATAAAGCACGAAGGTGATGCCGCGCACATTTACATTGATATTGATTGCATGGTGAGGATTGAGAGTTAAAGCACGAAGGGTGATGCCGTGCACTTTCTGTTTGCTGTGTTTATTTGTTGTTGTCAAATAAAGTGTTTTAACTGTTTAGATTCCTTTACTGCTGTGATCCTTTGTGTTGGAACCCTTAGTGTTTTCAATACCTCGCCGTATATATATATATATATATATATATATATATATATATATATATATATATATATATATAATAATATATATATATATATATATATATATATATATATATATATAATATATATATATATATATATATATATATATATTTCAATACTTCAAATTTCAATAATTGTTACATTTTTTTAATTCAATTAGTTTCTCAACTAAATTTCCTAAAACCGTCTGAGGTTGTATTTTACTTAAAAAGGAATCTCTACTAAGTTGTAATTTATTAAATCCCATGTTAAAGGTAATAATTCATTCGATGTTATATTTTAAATTGAAAATGATACTTTCTTTATTCAAATGATTTCTAAAAATAACTTCATCTTTTCTTGCTGAGTTCCTAATTGGTTTAGAAGCTGTACTCCACTTTATGTTATGTAAATGAGACTCATGAAACATCTTAATTGCATTAGTTATTGGTCCTATGTACTGAGTAACATGAGAACGTTGTTGTATAAAGTGAGACAAAATATATGGGCACAAGGTGCCGGGTGTGCTAAAGGTTTGGAAGTTGAGGTTATGATATGAGTTATCGAGTTCTGAGATGGCTGGGGTTGTGCACCAGAAACAATAAGATTGATTGAGTTGGCACTATCTTCCATACTTGAATTCATTCTACTTCTCTGTGTTTCAGCTATGTTTGTGTTGATTTATTTGGTTGTTTTTTTGTTTCCATCCGAGTTTCCTTTTATTATTTCGACTGTTTGTAGATTGATTTATCCCTGCTGTTGATATTATTTCGTTACCTTTATCTTGATATTTATTATCATATCCTGTTTAATCTGTCTGACCAGTAGGTGTCTTGACTGTTCCTCGTCACTACCCATCGAGGTTAGTCTTGATACTTACTGGGCACCGCTGTGGTGTGCTCATACTATACTTCTGTACATTTTTTTGTACAGATCCTGGTATTCGATCGATTGTAGCTGTGCGGATCGTTGCGGTGGAGACTTAAGGTAAACCTGCTGTAGCGTTCGCAGGTCTCGGAGTCACCTTCAATTGTACTTATTTTCATATGTTCCTTTTGTTTCGGAACAATGATGTATTTGTTTTATATAATTACTCTTAGAAAGACTTATGACTTGTACCACCGGTTTTGGAAATTATAATCTGTTCAGAGTAATTTAATTTAAAGTTAGTAAATATCAATGTTATTTCAGTTAATGTTAGGCTTACCTAGTTTAGAGACTAGGTGCCATCACGACTCCTTCTGAGGGATTTTTGGGTCGTAACAATGCAAGATTATTTTATCACGCGTTTAGTTAAATATTTAAATTCAAAATTAATAATTTTGGGATTAGTTAATCTCACAATTAGGTATTATTCTTTCCCACATTAAGGATATTATAATAATTTCAGGATTAATTAATCCCCGAAAAAATACTAAAATGACAAAGATGACGTTCTTCGAGGCTTTTCCACAAAGTTTTTTTTAACAATCCAGGGTTAAAATTAGAAATAAAAGTTTATCTCAACTTATTTGGTGTACACCAAACGTATATTTATATTACACCACGTATATCTCACTTTTAGTCCAATGAACAAATATCTTTCAATAAAAATATGTTTATTAAATAATTTTATTATTATTTAATCACCATATTATAATCTTAATATTATAATCTCGGGATAACCTGTAATCCTACCAAATAATACCTTAAAATTTAGTAATATCTATGGAACTTTTTAATATACTAGACATGCCTCTAATTCTAACGGTATTGTTTTTCTTCTTCTTTTTTGTCTGATCTTTTAATATAATGGAAAAATAGAAAAATAGTTTTAAAGGAAAAGGATTCTCCGTAAATTCAAGTTTGTGCTTGCATTTTATTTTGTTATGTTAAGCTTTTTTCCACAATTTACAATGTGGAGGTAATAATTTTTATTTTGAAAAACCTAGCTAAGGAACTTAGCAAAAAGCCAAACATGGCCTTTCTCCACGTACCATTAAATTAAGGATATTAGCATATCTTTAGTTTATACCAAAAAGAAGAAAACAAAGGGAAAGAAACAAGTGTAAAGTACCTATCATGGAGTCATGAGCATAAACAGAATTTTATAATTAAAAATAAATATAAGACACATGAGATTGTCTATTTGAAGAATGAACGGTAGCTAGCAGATTTATTTTCTTATTTTAGGCTCCGATTCTCGTACAACCACCTTTATTTCCCCAACCAACAAACCACTTCCAAAATTAATACACAAACACTCCTATTTAAAAATACATTCTCCTTTTTAGTTTATGCATATGATTTTAAGATTAGTAAATATTGTACTTAATTCATAATCCAATACAGATTCATGATTTAAACTTGAAAAGTTCTTTTTTTAACTAATTATAATTTTAAAATATTTGGTTTAAATTTTAATAATTATATATTTATTTATTTATACTTCGCGTAAAAAATAGAATAACTTATTTTCTACTATTGTTATATAAATTCCAAAAATGTCTACAGCAAAATTATAGATTAGTCAATTTACTTAAAAAAAATAAAAAATAAAGAGAGAGAGAGAGAGAGGAAACAAATGGACGCAACATGTGGAGTAAGAAAGAAAAAGGGAAGAGAGTTACCATTCAAAATTGCTTCCCCCAATTCTTCAGCTACTCCTTATTTCTTTTGGGCTATAAATAAATCAGACGCACGCTACCGACCTCTACGCATCACATTCCCTCCATATTTCTGCCTTCGCTATTTTTCAAGCTTCTTCTTCTACCTTCAGTAAGCTTCAGATCTCGCTTTCTCCTATCCACCCTTTCCCGATCTATGCTTTGATTGATCTAATTACTCGTTCATCTGGTGAATTTCAACCTTGCATTGCTCAGTTTTCGCTGTTTTTTTTCTCTGTACTTTATTTAAGCTATTTACGTGTTCTTTTTGGCTCTGATCCGCGTGGATTTTCGTTTGTGTACACTTGATTTGAGCATCGGTTGTTTTATCTAGCTTAATGTTCTTCGTTTCGGAAGTCTTGAGATCAGCTTTTGTATTTTGGCGCTATTTTTGCTTTGATCTGAGTATGAATTTGGTTGTTTTTTTTCTCTAGTTATGATTTTTGGTTTTACTTGAATTGATCTCTTGCAATTTCATTTCGTTTGCGTGTGCTTGATCTTCCACTGATTGTTTTATTTAGCTCAATGTTGAAAGTTTTGATTTTTGCTTCGAAAATTTTGCTCTTTTCTATTTTTTATTTTGCTTTGATCTGAGTAGGATTTGGTTGTTATGTCAGTAACGGTTTAGTTTTAATTGAATCGATCTCTTTGAATTTCAATGGTGGAGTGTATCGGACAAATTTTGGTGACTCTTCTTCTAGGGTAGTGCTAGAAATGCTGCCATTTTATCGAGGCTTGTAAATCATTAGGCTGGTATTTTTGGAATCTGTGCAAGCAAGAATAAACTCATGCTAAACCGAGTGCATGTACATGCTTAAAGCTTCAAGTTTTACATTGTTACTTTTTGTGGAGACATTGTGGCTGACTGCAAAAGCTTCTCTTTTTCGCTCTATCAATTGGATCTTGTTTTAATTAGCCACTGTAGTATTTGAAGCCTATTAATGTGAGCACGTTCAATTTTCTTTTGTGATCTGACACTGGAATATATTAATTGATATTGGCCAAATATTCTAGCATCCTATCTCTAACTCTTATTGTGATAAGAGAAATGAAAGCAGGCTAAATCTTGTATTTTTAGTTCCTCGATGTGTACGTACAGTCCTTTCCTTCAAGGGATTACCCCCCCCCCCCCCCCCCCTTTATTTTAGGGTCAGTATCGTCTTTCTTTGCTGCCTTTCCCTTTGTTTTGTGAGGTCCTATTCACTTACTTCAAACATAGAAGAATGTACATGTAACATTTTTGTTCTTTCTGCAGACAATTTCGTAAGACCAAGCCAAGTTACCAGACATCCATGGGGACTGTTGTCGATTCTTCTAACCAGGTATCTTTTTTCATAAATATTCTTAGTACCTTGATTATTGGTGTTAGCTCACAATTTGGATGAGTTCTGATTCTGATATTATCTAAGCATCTGGAATCTGAATAAAGTGAAATGCTTTCTTTACTAGCAGACATTATTGGAGGATGCTTGACATTTAAGCTATCACTATCTTTTCTATTATATACCTGGAGTTCCAAAAAAAAAAAAAACCAAGGTAAAAGCTAGCATAAAAAATATGAGGTTTAGAGGCTTTAAATAGTAGAGTTGTGGTGTCCATTTCTGGTGTCTTACAATAGATGGGGCTACAGCAATTGCACTGTGAATTTAGATACCAATTTTCTAGATTTGCAGCATGCATGCACGAACACCGACACCAAGGAAGAGCGGCAATAAGGGTCCAACTCCCATTCCTTCTCTGAAATTTTAAAATTTGTGAAGAGTTCTCATATACTTCTATGGATTTTTGTCGAGAGGAATTAATTATATTATCTTAAAAACATTACTTTGGAGTTTGGAATATAAAAAAATTTCCCCTACTCAAGTTACCACCTCCACTCTTCATAAATAGTATAACTATCAATGAATTCTGCTCCTGCACAGTATCATGCAGATGCCACATGCTCCTTAGATTGATATTCTTTTTTCCAATTATGAATTGCAGGGAGCAGGAAGCCTGCCAACCAACAAGAAGGTCTCTGTTATTTTTGTTCTAGGTGAGTTTTTCAACATTAACATCACATGATTTTGTGGCATCCTCGATACAGCACCTCATAGTATGGCAAAAGTATTTTGCCTATATGTAGTTGATGTGAGGATGAGAGATGGAACTCATTGGATAATCATATATTTGCCATTGTAGTAGTTATCCGATCAACATGTTCACTTAGTGTTACCTCTAATACCAATTAATATGCAACCTTTAGGGTTTAACTTTTAGGCTGTAAGAGCCACAAGTGTATAACTCCTTTGTTCAAACCATCATAGTCCATTTATTAGATTAATTCACGATTGGCTGAACGACCATTAGGATCCTTTGGGCTTTTACATCCAGTTTTGATCAAAATGAAACAGGAAGCTATATTGAAGGATGGTTGTAAAAGCCATATCAGATTGACTGGTTGGAACAGTTACTACTCTAGTTTATATTGTGAAGATAGAAATGATATTCGGACGTAATGGGCTTCATTTTTGTGATTATTTACATTATAGTTAACAGAAGGAGGGTTTTTTAATTATTTGATACGTGGGGGTTACGGAAGAAAACCTGTAAGGAAGGTATATCTAGTATACTCTTTGCTAGTTGCTCCACTTCTTCTTTATCCTCTCGATCAAGAAAGAATTTGTCTGTGAATTATGAATTAAATTTTATTAGGAAATTACGATGCAACCTGTATGGATTTGTGGATCCAATACACATCCTCATTGGACATAGCATATTTGTTGATGCAATCTATACCCTTCATAGGGATTTTTATCTTGAGCTAAGATTTGTTTTCCCTATTAACATGGACAGGTGGCCCAGGCAGTGGTAAGGGCACCCAGTGTGCTAATATTGTTGAAAACTTTGGGTACACCCATCTAAGTGCTGGTGATCTTCTCCGAGCAGAAATAAAATCTGGTTCAGAGAACGGGTAGGATATCTGTGTTTCGATTGTGTTGCTTTATCTTTTTCCGTACTTATTACCCTTGGTAGTTTCAACCAGCATTTTGTATAGTAGATCAATAGCCGTTTGTTAAGTTGCATTATCCTTTTGTTTTTAGTTCAATAGCTGGTTCAAGCAATGTTTATTGCACACAAAGGATTACTCTTCAGCACCATGGTTTAAATGTGGTTCATAGAGTTTAAACTGTACTAGTTTTGTTTGTATTTCATCGTATTCCGAGAATTGCTCATTGTATCAGCATTGTAAACTGTTCATTTCACATATGTACAGGACGATGATTTCAAACATGATTAAAGAAGGGAAAATTGTACCATCAGAGGTAACAATTAAGCTTCTCCAACGAGCAATTCAGGAAAATGGGAACGACAAATTTCTTATTGATGGTTTCCCTCGCAATGAGGAGAACCGTGCAGCTTTTGAGTCAGTTGTGAGTTCCTCAGTACACCCTCTTTTAGCTGCATCTTGATAATTCATAATTCTCCTATTCAGTTGAGAGTTGTTAAAATTTTGACTTTCTCACTATGTTTTCCAGACTGGAATTGAGCCTGAGTTTGTGCTCTTCTTTGATTGTCCTGAAGAAGAGATGGAGAGACGTCTTTTGGGTCGGAACCAGGTTAGACATATAATTTCTTGGTAGAAGACTTCTCCCCGTGTTTACAATTCTTTGAGCTTTTATGCTATTCTTGTTTCTTCTTTGTTAATTTTCTTTTCTAGCTTCTTTTTTTGTTTGTTTGGTCTTCTTCTCATGAACTTTGATTTCTTTCTATAGGGAAGAGAAGATGATAATATTGATACAATAAGGAAGCGATTCAAGGTTTTCCTGGAATCTAGTTTACCTGTTATTGAATATTACAACTCCAAGGGGAAGGTTCGAAAGGTACTGTTTTATTTTTCAGTCTCGTTACTGCCTTCCCGCACACACACTGACACACACACACACACACAAGAGAGAGAGAGAGAGAGAGAGAGAGAGAGAGAGAGAGAGAGAGAGAGAGAGAGAGACCGAGACCCTGCATATTAAACTGAAGTTGACATCTTTTTTTCTTCAGATTGATGCTGCGAAGCCTGTTGGAGAAGTATTTGAAGCAGTTAAAGCTGTTTTTGCCCCAACTGTTGAGAAGGTAAAGTAATAATATGATGGTATGGCGAAAGTTACAAGGATGTTAAGACCTTCAACTTGCATGGAAAAGGATATCTAGTGTACGTGACGTAATTTGGGAAGTAAATGTCGTGTGATGCAAATACCCTTATGCAGAACTAGATCTTTTTTATGTTATGAGATCAGTGTAAACTAACACCTAGGTAGTGATAATCATATGAACTTGTTTAACTGATGCTGGGGATTACTGTTAATTATCTATGATTCTTGTCATACAATTGTTCAAACATTTTCTTCACTGTTTTGATTATGTGGAGCATTATTTGATTCATAATGCTTGGGGTGGTTAAGTTTGCTCATAAACTTTGCCTTATCTAGGACGAATCTCTCCATATATAATCGAGTATGTAGATGATTCAAACTGTCATCGGCTGTTACTTAAGCTCATAATATGAGCATATTTTCAGTTTATTTGTCCAAAATAATTAAATTTTGATTCTGCATATTCTCTCTGGAATTTCATACAGATCCTTTTTGTATGTTACAGGTTGCTGCCTAGGAGTGTATTGGTAGAGCGGCATCATGCTTAAGTATTAATGGTAATTGAGAACTCTAAACATGGACTTTATTGTGTTACTTGTTTATCACCGACTTTTCCTGAGATATGTAGAGCTTTGCATGGGTTGCAATGTATGATTTGTTTCTCATCTGAATTGGTTTTAATGTTGACTAACCTTCTCTTATTACAACGTTCCATTTTCTCCAGGTATACCAGTATTGTTTGCATTTTGGTGCTTGCTATGCGTCTTCAGCAAGGCGATGTATCTTTATAGATTCTACTTTTATAGAAGTTTATGGCAAAAATTTCTTTTTCTTTCTTCCGATTTTTGTTCTTATGAAGGAACAAATGCTGTATTATTGGCATATTGCCTTTGTATTATCATTGTCGAGACTGAATTTTTATAATGAGATTATAAGAGTTTCTCTCTCTCTCTCTCTCTCTTTCTCTCACACACGCACGCGCACACACATATTTGGGCCTTTCGTGAACGATTAAGATTTGGGACTTAACGTGTGGTAAGTAGTGATAGACCTAACACTAAATATGCTTTTACATCATCCCATTCCCCCGCTAGAAATAATAAGAAATGTTTTTCTTTTATACAGGAGAACAAGTTGTTGCTTCTGGTGTCGAAAAAATGAGTTTTTTTCTTGGAAGACTTGTTCTTAGAATATAAAATTTTAGTTTTGGGAAAACAAAAACTACTGTTTTTTAGCTTTTATAGAACGATCAAGTTCTTCAAACTCAGTAGCATTAATTGGCTAACTGGACGTGCACCATTCTCATTTGCTCAAATATAATGGTGTTAGTCCCTATAAAGGTCAAATCCGCGAGACCTCTGGTCCTGGGATTTTCAGTACCACAATAATAGAACAATCTTTTGGCAAATAAATCTATCACATGCTATAAAGACGAGCTCTGAAGAATACAGGAGACGTATGGATTCTAACAGTTGGGAATAACTGATACTAAAATACAGAAGGTGAATTTTAAACAAATATGATGCCATTTTCTTGGATAGTGTCAAGAATAATCCCAAGTCTACCTTCTATTCGCTCATTCCTCCCGGGCTCATATGCAATGGCGTAGACATCAGCCTCTTTTGATCGCTCTGCAATCAACTTGCCTATCACCCTGGCAGCGTTGTTGTCAGTAAGGGAAGGCAATGAGTTCCTTAAGTCTTTCGCATTTGTGGTAGCAACAGAGATCACCTTGCTGGTTCCTCGATGCATTACTTTTGCATGGATAAATCGTTTTGAAAAGAAAATGTTTAGTAAAAAAGGTCTCAAATACATATCCGTCCTTTGTTTCCATGATTTCCTGTTAGGCCTTTTTGCAGCTTCACTCCGCGATCTTCTTGTCCATGCAGCCTCAATAACAAACTTCTACAAAAAAACAAAAAACAAGTACATTCTCAAATGACGCATGAAAGATCTACTCATGCTGCAGTTTCTAAGTCCTATTGTTTGTTTCTATCTGTTATCCATGCTAAGCTAGGATATAATCATGTACAGAGAAGACATGCCAGACAACAATAATACTTTCAGAAATTGTACATTGTATGTATACCTCACATTTTGATCCGAACTCATCTCTTGTTAGTACAAGCATATTATCCGACCAACAACAACAACAAACCCAGTGTAATTCCACAAGTGGGATTTGGGGAGGTAGTGTGTACCCAGACCTTACCCTTACCTTGAGAAAATAGAGAGGCTGTTGCCGATAGAGAAAAACGTTTTTCACAGATAAGAAGCTTCACAACTTCAAACATTCTTGCCTTTTCATATCTTTATTTAAAGAAAACGAAAAGCAAGAATCTTGTCTGCGAACCATGAATGATTCAAAAAGATATGTACTTGACTACTTGCAGAAAAAAAATCAAGTAGCCATGTTCTAGGCTATTAGGTAAGCAATGATAAAACACCAATGGATACATTTCCGAAGTCAATTACAGATTTTTTAAAAAGCCAGATAAAGAACATTCAAATTTACCTCACATGACCGATCACTATCTTATACTCAACTCTTAGAAGTTACTTCCAAAAATCAGCACATCTGTTTAAAAATTAAGTTATAAAGAGAATTGTGGCAATAACGTGTTTGCCGCCGTTTTCTCCAAATCCATCCAATACAGAGAACAAAGGTAAGTCTTCCATACTCTATTAAGCATGTGACAGCAGAACCATTCCTATAATGTGGTTTTAGGTTTTTCATTCCCCATGCTTGATTAATGGGGAGACAATTGTTTGTTTGTATGATCCAAAAGCATCACTATATAGCACCTATACTTAGATCTAGAAGTTACTTTCCAAAAATCAGCACATCTGTTCAAAAATTAAGTAATAAAGAGAAGAACGGCACATGTATCTGAACTAAGTACAATATAAGTTCAATGAAGAGATTTAAAACATTGATCAAATACTCGGAGAGGAAACCTTTGCATGTGAATACTGCTTTCCGGAGTATAATTGCAGGTGAAGATGACAGAAACAAAATACCAAACAAGTTAAAGGTGAGATAGTGAACAAAACTACCATGAGTTTTCCACAAATTGTCTCTATCCTAAAGCAATGTCAACAAAATTAAGTTGCCAATTCTGAAACTCAGAGTATGAGAATCTTTTACGTTAACAGCTAAATCAAATGCAAATGCAATACCAATATGCCAAGCTAACCTTATGTCAAGATACATTAAAGCAGCGGTAAGCACTAAGCTACAATTTAAAAAAGTCTTAATAGATTAAGCAGATATATATATTCCAGTACTGGTCTAATAATTTTTACACGGATGAGGAACTTCATAGAACACTCTCCACTACGATCATGTGAAGATATTCAGACTGTTAAGAGTGCAAATAGCTGATGCTGAAAAGAAGGAAGATATTCAGCAACTGTTTCGACAATCCTTTTTTCACATCAATACGAAGGAGGTGCTATCCAATCAGAAACTTAGAATCCATAAGGGTCTCCAATGTCTAATTTGCTTGGAACAAACATTTAATATCTACGAGTTGCTTTCAGTACTTCTCAAATTGACAATTGAAAAATACGTCAGAAACCTAGATTTCATAAAAATCCAAACTTTCAAAAGGAACAATGGCATCTCAATCTGAATTTTTAAAACTGAACAATTATATGCCTATTCCTCAGCTAAGCCCCCCAAAAGTCCAGGCGGGGTGGGTGGAAGCAATCAGGATAAGGTCAATAATATTCACATTTCATTGCAACCTATTTTATAATATGGAGTTCAAATTTTATTTCTCAAGTAGTTTGATTATTCACTCTGTAAAGAAAATCATGAAATGTGTATACATATTGATTCTAATTAGAGCAAGAATTAATTACAGGACCAAGAAAATCCTCTAATAAAATAAATACTAGAAGAAAATTGAATAAACCAAGAATCATAAAATTGTGAAATAAGATGAAAAAAGAAGAAAGATACCTGGCGGAGAGAGAGATTAGAAGGGCACGGAATGGAAGAAACAGAAAGTTTGAGTTGGGGAAAAGAAGAAGACCATGAAAGGGAATTGGGTTTATCTCTGTACACAGATGGAAGCAATTCGGAGGAAAGGGAGAAACAGAGAGGTGCTACTGAAGAAGAAGAAGAAGAAGAAGAAAGGGAAGAAGTAGCCATTGTTTGTTGGTCTGAACAAGAATGACAGTTCTAATTCTTCAGTAAGGAAAAGGGGCTCTAATTAATAAGTATGCTGTTTGGTTTACTTTGTTCCAGGATAGGCCTATTCCGGTCTAAAGAACAAAAAAGCAAAAAGGATAGCATGATTATTACTCTACTTAAACTGGAAATATAGGTAATTTCATTGATTAGGATTTATTGTGTAAAGATGAGCTTTTAGGATGATAGGGCCATTTACAATTTGAACTTAAGCAAATGTCCCTACCCATTTTAATATATTTTTTTTTCATTTACTTTTCTTATATATTTTTCTGTGGCAATATAGAAGCCTACCTTTGCAAACCAAAATCAAATACTTTTCCTTTACAGTAGGAAAACTTCTCTGGAAAGACAAAACCCCTTCCTTTGGAAACCCTTCTCATCAATTTCAACGGAAAAAGTGTGTTGGCTTCTAAATCTCCATTTTTCTTGTGTTTTCTAGTCCTATTTGTTCTGCTATGTTTTATTTCTTGTCATTCTATTGCTTTTTAAAATCCCTTTTTCTTTTATCAATCAAATCACAAGAGATCGATGATAATGGAAGCTATTCTGGATGATATTACTTCTGGGTCGATGTCCAATGGAGATGAGGTTGAGTCATAAAAAGGTGACGAGGACAAACCGAAGGAGGAGACTGACGATGAACAATCAATGGAAAATGACGATAAGGACGAGCCAGAGAAAGATAGTGCAAAGGAGGAAACTGACGAAGAACAAACAACGGAAGATGACGATGGGGACGAGTTAGAGAAAGATAGTGCAGAGGAGGAAACTGACGAGGAACAAACAACAAAAGATGACGACGGGGACGAGTCAGAGAATGGTGGAGGAGGTGGAAGAGTGTGTGTGTATGTATGTATGTATGTATATATATATATATATATATATATATATATATATATATATATATATATATGATCTCTTATGTTTATTCTAATATCTCTTTTGTTTAAAGTTAATGATCTCTTATGTTTTGTTGTAAGATCTCTTATATAACTAGTTTAAAGTTTTTGCTAATTTACTGTTTTGAATTTTTAACTTTAACTAGTTAAAAGTGTTGTAAGATCTCTTATATAACTAGTTTAAAGTTTATATATAATCTCTTATGTTTATTTCTAATATCTCTTGTATTTAAAGTTAATGATCTCTTATATTTTGTTGTAAGATCTCTTATATATCTAGTTTAAAGTTTTTGCTAATATGCAATTGAATATGTAGGAAAATTTGAATGATGATCCACTTGCATCTGTGAAGTTGAGATACAATCTTCAAACAGTTCAAGACGAAATTAGTTATTTTCCGGGTAGAGTGACAGTTAGGTGTAGGATGGGTTATGCTACAGAGAGTTTGAAAAATTCTGTTATTATGCTATAGAGAGTTGGAAAAAAAGGTTCAAGAAAGCATTATTTGAATTTTTTATGTTCATCCAACAATAAGTGAGTCCTCGAACCCGGGTTTGTTAGCTCCAACATATGTAAGTACCCCGGTAATAATGAATAGCCTTCTTCTGGTGTCCTCTTATGATTGCCAAGGCTTCCTGTTTTGCTTTCCACTAACTAACTTCACATCAAATTTCATTATGCACTAATGATTTTACCTTTTCTGGTGTTGGTTCTTATCCTACTGAATCAAAAAATTTGTGCATCATCTCGGCAATTACATCATAGGAAGCTTGTTTAAGGTACTTGCTGCACTTTTAATCCCACAATCATACTCACCATATTATTTTTTAACGACAAAGCATGACAAATTAGCTAACTTCACAATGCGCACACCCCAAATGCACTCCTTTACAATGCATTTAACAAAAGGATTAGACTTCTTTATCTTGAACTGAAGCTTTGCAGACACATCAATCATTTTTAGATTCCTCAAAACTTCCTTTTTGCTTTCAAATATTTTTCCCAAATGAAGATCAAAACGTTCACTAAATCTACCTTCATTGCAACACTCGTTGCTCGACGTTTTTGTAAAGCTATCCTCCTAAGTCATATTTTTCATAGCACTTGATCGTTCAAAAAATGGCATTCCAACATTCTCTCCCTCCTTAGAACAACCTCCTTCTGAACTAATAGTTCCAGAATCATCAACTTGGTAAGCGGGGGTTACGTTATGCTCCAATGGAAGTTTGTCAAACCTATCCATTGGTTCCTCTTCTTCCACTAAAATAGGACTATAGTGCTCTTGGATCAAAATACAATCATTGCTTTCCACAATAACTTGTGTATCGCTACTTCCATAATTTACTATACTTGTCTTTTCAATTTCATCTGCATCCTCATGTAAACAAACTTTCAATGTTGGTCTAACACCTCGTTCGTCAACAATTTGCCAGATAGGACTTTAAATCAAAATCATCCTCTATTGGAGAATACAAAGTCTCTTGCCAAGTTTTATCCAAAACCATTGGCTTGTAACGTATAATAATATTTTTCAGATTACATGTTATCTTGCATCACTCACATATTACTTCTACCTAATTATTATAACGTACTCCTTGGCGAAAATGAATCACCCTAATAATTTTCTTCTCCTTAAAATCAAACTCAATGCAAATAGTCAAATCACCCATTGATATCTACATATATTGATTACCTGTAAAAAAAAATAGAAGTCAATTAATACCAGTCTCTTGCATTTTATAATAGCAACCTCCTACATTTACTATACATATCTCTTATGCTTTATATATCAGATCTCCTATGATAACATAAATATCTCTTATGTTTTCTACTAATATCTCCTACATTTTAGCAAAAGAATCTCGTGCATTTTGTATTATGATCTCCTACGTTTTACTATATAAGAATCTCCTACAATTTTTACTAAGATCTCCTACATTTTACTATATAAATTCCCTGCTTACACTATCAAATCTCTTTTCTGGTTCACCTTTTACTTCGAAACACAAATCTCCTATATTTTGTACTATTATCTCCTAAGTGTTAATATATAAATCTCCCGCTTCACCAATCAATTCTCTTTTCTGGTTCATCTTCTTCTTTGAGTCCTCCTTCTCAAAAAATTCATAAAATAATAATAAAAAATAAAAGTTGAAGTAATGTATTACTTACCCAGACATATATGAACTCAATACAACTATTTTTTCACGCAATAAAAGTTTTGGGAAGCTTGGACTGATCACTGATGGAGGAAATTCGTTGGCTTCTTTTTCATCATTGGCTTCTTTTTCCTAAGCATATGGTTTAACAATATTTTAATTGCAATGAGGCCCTTCAATTTGCACCCATTTTTCAATACAATCACAAATGCTAACTTGGATGGCTATAGGTCCCACAAGGGTCATAAACCAAAATGACAATTTGAAATATCTTCAAAGCAAAATGACATTTTGTAAATGACCAAATAATGAATTGACCTTGTAAAGATCTTCGTATCATTATGCTTTTTTTTTTACCTCTAAATTCTTTTGCAGGAAATAATTCAAAGTATAACATGTTGGAGCTTTTATGGGCCTCTTATGTATTACCAGTGGCCTACAAGGCCCAAATAAACCTGCATAGGACCAAAAGTTAGGGTTGGCAAATGGGTGGGGCGAGGCAGATCCTTAATGGGGCAGGGCAGAGCAAAGTCTTAATGGGATAGGATAGGACAGGGCGAGATGGGTAAAAACACATTTTTGAAAAATAGTTAATGGGGCAGGGGCAGGGATATAACAGAATTTTAGCTGCAAAGTCAACAAACAAACTAGAATTTTCTCACTTGCGTGTGCCTACTTAAGTAGCTATGAAAGTATTAAATATTCAACTTTCCAGATATGACCCTTATACAAAAGGTCGGCATATACAATTTTATATTCTTTTACTTGTGTCTGACCCATATACACAGCTTCACAAAAAAGTACTTCTAGCAAGTGCTGTAGCATATAGTAAGTACATTTTGTTGTGTAATCTTCCTCTTGTTCACGTGAATGGTCCTTAAGTAGTGTGTGTTTAAACAACATTTTTGACCTACTTAAGCTAGAATTGGAAGCTTGTGCTATAAAAACTTTGCTAATGGCACCAAGTTGATCTACATTTAGATGAGGCAAGCTTAGTTCAATGGCCGGCTAGCTGCTTCAAAGTCCCATCTTTTTGTAGGAAGAGAAGAGTTCTTGAGGCATAAATTTGTGTACTTGTCATATTGATCTGCCTCAGATATGGCATAATTGTGTCATGATGATCCAATATGAAAAGCTGATTCGCATTGATCGCCTAATAAGGTACAAATGTATCAGATGCAGGTCCAATTTATTTAAAAACACGTATATCAGAAGCATTATAAATCAACTCGTAAAACCTCTTATATAATGAATCCATCTAACTGCTTTTGCATTTGTTCTGGGAGTAATTATATAACATTGATAAAAATTATATTTTATTCAATCAATATGCGTAAAAAATTAAATAATATTTTAAATGTTTCAATAGAAAGTTGAAAAGTGTTAAAAAGTTAGTTAGTGTTAGTTGGGTAGTTAATCAATTGTCCAATCATGTAGGGACAGCTGTAAGTTAAGTTAGTTAGAGTATGTATATAACCGTGTGTGCTCTTCACTTGTGAGATATCAAAAGTTAATGGAACAGTAAAATTTCCATATCTGGTTTTTGCTTCTTCTGAGAACTTCTCTGCAACCATGGAGGTTCTCCTCTCTTAACATGTCATCAAAGCCCGTGAAGACGATCAATTCACGCATATTGCTCGAAATCGATTTGAGTCTCTAGAACTCGTCAGTCATCTATGTAATTGCTTCGATTTATCTCTTCTTAGGTTGAATCATCTTCGAGAAATTAGGCATTTTTTTCCTCTCTGTGTTCTACTCTAAGCTCTCGATTTTCAATCTTCAATGGTGATCGGAGGTATTGGTACTAGCTCAGACACAGAAATTGAAGACACTACCGCTGATGCAATTCTAGTGGCAGATCCAAGTCGTGTGGGTGGTATAGTGGTCGATCAACATCATCCTCTATTTCTTCAACCTTCTGATACTCCAGGCAGCTCTCTAATCTCAATAAAACTAATTGGACATGAAAATTATGCTCTATGGAGCAGCTCTATGCGTACCAGTCTATTAGGCAAGAGCAAATTAGGTTTTGTTGATGGTAGATACACTAAGGATAAATTTTCTCCTACTTTACACGAATTGTGGGAAAAGTGTA